CTCGGCCGGCGCTGGCTCAATTGTTTGGGGCTCCATCGTCTCGGGCTCCATCGTCTCGGGTACTGTCATTTCGAGCTCGATTGTCGCGGGTTCCGCCGTCTCGGGTACTGTCATTTCGAGCTCGATTGTCGTGGGTTCCGCCGTCTCGCCCGTCGGTACTGCTTCCGCGGTGGTCTCCGACGCAGCATCGGACACGGCCTGAACAGCCTGTTCCACCGCGTCCTGCACTTCCGCGGCGACAGTGGCCTTCTCAACTTCCGCCACCGCCGATTCCTCCTCGACGGCAGTCACCGTCTCCTTCGCCACTGCAGCGAGCGCTGCACACTCCACCGCACACACCAGGGCCTCGGCAACAGCAGCGACCTCTATCACGTCGGCGGCATCAGCTGCGTCCGCCGTCGCGGGCTCAATCGTCTCTGACTCGGCCGGCGCTCGCTCAATTGTTTGGGGCTCCATCGTCTCGGGCTCCATCGGCTCGGGTACTGTCATTTCGAGCTCGATTGTCGCGGGTTCCGCCGTCTCGGGTACTGTCATTCCGAGCTCGATTGTCGCGGGTTCCGCCGTCTCGCCCGTCGGTACTGCTTCCGCGGTGGTCTCCGACGCAGCATCGGACACGGCTTGAACAGCCTGTTCCACCGCGTCCTGCACTTCCGCGGCGACAGCGTCCTTCTCAACTTCCGCAACCGCGGCTTTGCCTTCTGTTGGCTCCTCTGGCTTTTTCGACTCGGTCGTGGTTACTCTTTTGGCAATAGATCCTTCGTCACCTGCCTTGTTCTCGAACAGGCTATTTACTGGGTTTACTAACTCATTCTCGCGTATGCTGCCAAACTCATCCACGGTCTTGTCATCGGCTTTTACTATCTCGTTCAATTTCGCGGCGAGCGTATTTTCTGGATCCATTTGCGAATCTAATCGAAGTGAAACCTTACCGATTGTCTCAGCCAACATGGCTTTGACGGAGAGAGCTACAGCATTAGACATGGCTACGGTCAAGTGCTCTTCACATTCATCACTATCCTCATCATTGTTGTCAGCAGAGGGAATCTCTGGGGATGATGGCGCCACTTTATCGGCATATTGATCGGGTTTACGACCAGCAGTATCATCTCCGGGTAGCACAGTGCACAGTTCTCCCATTGCTTCGACTTCAACCAGAGCAGCCGAAATCGCACGAGCTGCTATCAGTTGGCAGACATCACGACCACGCATCCAGTCCATCAATATCTTCGGGTCCTCTTGACTCTGGTTTGACAGCTCAACAAACTCAAACCCATCGGTATCTTCCTCTTTAGCGTATTTCTCGTTCACTGGAGCGTAATATAGTTTATCTTCACTGGGAATTCGTGGTTGTGCTGGATCAATCTCATCATGCTCACTCTTCCAGTCTTTTGGTTCAAACGCTGTGTGATCTTCTTCATATGTATCTTCTAGGGGCAAGGCGCTATAGCCCTTCAATGGTGACGCAAAGCCAATCTCCTCTATGATTGGGGTTTCATCCGTCGGTATCGATGTAGTATCATCAAAATTGTGATGTCTTGGCTCATCGTGTATCACATGGATGTTTTCGGGAATGACTTCATTCTCTTTTTCCTCCACATGCCCGAGCATTTCGGATGGCAACACCCCGATTGAGATCTCTTCTTGTATAGATTCTTCTTGAAAGGTGTCAGGCTCTTCCTTTTTCTTATAAGGTGAGTCCTCCATATCCGACAAGACGAACTTCTCTTTACTTATATCCCCCTCTTGTTCGCTCAAAGTCTTCGCTGGTGCTTTCTCGGGGCCAACATGAAGTGGCTTCAAGAACGGAATAGAAGGAGAACGCATAGTTGGGTCCAGCTTTGAAAGAAGCTTTCGCTCTCCACTTGGGGACACCACAGCAACTGTAGCCGGTGCTTTCTTCTCTTTCTTTTGCCCAACGCCTGATGCACGCGATTTCTTGTATCCAGAGGACGGCAGTTTTGGAGCATCAGACTTGGACACAGCAGCTTGTGGTCCATTCCGAGGATTTGGCGTCTTGATCACGTCACTTGCAGCAGTCGATCTCTCGGCACGAGCGTTAGGAGTCATTTCTGCAGATCCAAGTGGTGTCCGTCCAGTAGCATCACGTGCAACATGCGAGATCATGGCAAGACTCCGCTCATACATGGAGGATTCGGCGATTTGAATCATTTTGTGAAGTTTGTCGGAGAAACTCATGCGATTGAGCCCCGGAGATTTGGATCCAGTTTGTGCCAGTAATGACGATATCCGTGCTTCTTCTTTGAGTAGCTGTTGCGCAAACTCGCGCAGTTCGGCCATCGATTGATCCATATCTGTCAGGTCGGACGAGCTATTTGTTCTTGCAGGCGGCACAATTGCAATGGGAGCTTCAATGGTTCGTTCTTGAATTTTCGAATCATCTTCAATGACAATAGAAGTAGAGCTAGACGAGCCTTTCCTTCGACTACGTGGGGATCTGCGTGCACTCTTCGATGTCGGCGGCGAACCCCATTCTGATTTTTTCTTTCCTGGGTCTTGTATGCTGCGCCCTTGCTGCCTGGTAGGATCCGTCAGTTTAGTCACTACTACAGCAGTCTGTGGGCGCAGATTGCCCGTGCTCATGCTAGATTCCATATGCCACTCATCGTCTCCGCTCCCCCACTCTACTGAACTTGCAGGGGATATTTTAACGCGCTCGTTCACTAATGGAGTAAGACGCGCTGAATGCGGACGAGTCGGTGTCTTGGACACGATCGGTTGCTCCAGCGACTGGCTGCTTGAAAGTGGCGGAGGAATAACGAAGGTCACGCCCTCTGATCCAAAATAGTTGTTCTTCAACGGACTAAAGCGCCTTAGCGAGCTGTCCCGAGAGAAGCCCCTGTCCATAGTATCACCTGATCTCTGGGTCTTGGAGCCTAAAGGTGCATGACCATACGTTTTCATAAGCAGTCGATCACGCTGTTCATTACCGTTTTTCCGTCGCTTCATCTCTCCTGCTCGCTGAATATGCTCGTTTCGGCTACGTGGAGGAGGCAATCGTGACGCTTTCGGCGTCAAACTTCGGGTATCATCCTTAAGTTTGACTGGAGACGTGAAGAAAGACGAACCTGGCGCGTCCCCAAGAGCATTTGACATCTGCCCAAACGAACGCACGCTGCTCGGTACTGGTATCCCCGAAGAAGTGTTGGGACGGCTGCTAGGAGACTTAGGTCGACGACGACCAGTTGACTTTTGCCCCGACTCTCCTTTCCTGCTGGTTGATCGTGGCGAGGTGTCGCGGGTTCGACTACTCAGAGCTGCAGCCGCAGGGGAGCGCTCTCGCTTCGCTGCTGCCGCTGGTGTCGAACTCAACGGAGACGAATGCTCGTCTAGAATAAGGCGAGCCTTTTCATGGACACTTTTGGACGGTGAGTGACTCAGACTGGTTTCCGCGATCTCTCGCAGTGCGGCGGTGGAGAATCGGATAATACCTGCATGACGACACGGTGTAATGCTGAGAATCTAAGCCTAAGTGTAAGTTTAGGAAAAAGAGCACACTTTTCACCTTCGTCGACGGGATACTTTGCCATAACGACAGATATATCAGCAATGACACCAACTTCACGCAAACTTGCGGCCGCAGCTGAACTATTTGACGCAAGACTATACATTTTAACATGTTGAATTAGCTCTGGCCTTGGAATCCCCCACCGACAAGCACATACCACAACAAAAGACTGCAGAACGAACACGTCACTTTCTTATCTTCACGAGCCATGCTCTGTCGAGTCAGTGACACCGCTAGTTGAATTGGGGACTCGATCTTTCGCTGGCAATCAAGGGCGATCAGTGAGGCAACCGTTGACGGCCCGCCGTAGTCACATAATTCAGTCAAAACTGGCAAACAACATCGCAGAGTCACCAAAACGAAGACAAGTAGCTACGTCCGTTTAGCAGCGCACCTTCACACGCATAAATCTGGACTTGACGCGTCAGATTTGAGTACTCGCGATGGGTCTCGAGCGACGCGAGCATCAGTCCCAGAATGCTCGGATCGTTCAAGGCTAGCATCTCGTTCTTACTGACGCCACTGGTTTGTGTTAACACTGCAAGACATCCACATGCCGACGCCTGCAGGATGGCGTCCTCGGGGAAGCTCAGCAGCGCCTGAGCCACAGTAGGGATGATCCCATGCTGGACAAACAACTCGACGGACTCGACACTGAGATGGCACAACTTACGCATGAGAACACACCCATAACACAGAAGTACTGCATGAGACGAGTGCGTCTGGATCGTGTCGAGCAGACGCAGCTCGCCATTCTGCTCGTGGATGCACTCGGCTGTAATTTGTGGCGCGGATCGGATCACACGCAGCAGCAGTGACAACGAGTTTTTCTACAATACAAATACACTAATTAGTGAAAAACAAGTAGTATCACATTATTAAATAAACACTTGTATAATGCACACCACAGCCACTGCGTCCGATTCAATTGACGTGATCGCTTCTAGGATCTGTGTCACCTGCTTCTGCGTCTGAGCGACCGAGTCGCTCAAGTCTCGATGACGGCGAGAAGATGCTGCTGACGGCTTCTGCGCCGCTCGTGACGCCTGTGGAGACGACTGGCGGCCCTTTGTACTCTCAGCCGTCTGCGCTCTACGTTGTGTTGTCCCTCGCTGGTTCTCTGCTTTTGGGGCGGGGGCCTTTTCCTCTGACACACGATTCCGCATTGCTTACAATCGCTGTTGCTGGGGAGGCACTTTGGAGAATGGCTGACTCTTGGCAGACCCATGTGACGCTTGGATGCTAACCGTTAGTTGTGGTGGTTTCCCACGCCTCCATAATGACTAGCTTTTATCTCGACACCCTCCATCGACTGTGAATCTGCTACCAACTACATTCGGAGCGGGGCATGCTCCTCATCGTCGTTGGCGCACTGGTGTAGCATCACTGTCGTAGCACTACCCTAATGAGGGCCTTAAACACAGTCACACTAGGCATCGCCGCAGCGACTCACAGTGTGAGCTGTGCCTCGATTTCGTTTCCTGCAACTTATGTGTCGCACACAACATAGAATAAAAATGTTTTCCCGATACATGTACATCTTGGTTTCTCGGCGGGGTTGCTTATGGGATTCCCGCAGGCAAGTACGCGCGGCATAAGCGCAAATAGACATTCATTTTATTTTATAAGGTTGCGTTTTGTTCTGAACTACTTAAGCCCTCTAATGCGTATTTTCGCACCGAAACTGGAGTGGAAGACTGGTACACTGACACCAATTCAGGTTCGTTCTCTCCACCGCCAGGTTTCAATGCAACCATGTCCGAGCGGACGCGTTGGCTTTTGTTATATTGAATCCGGCCGGTGGCTGTTTTGAACTGGGGTTTGTCCAGCACTACGCAAACCATAGATCGGTTCGGACGCCGTGGTTGTATTGAAACCTGGCGGTGAAGCGAACGAGTCTGAAATGGTGTAGAAGAACATCGCCTTAAAAGAAATGTGGTGTTTCGAGTGTACCTGACTGTGAACTGTTCTGGATGCCATCCAGTGGGTGCCTTCCAAAACTATCCTAACGCTTTTTATCATACCTAACCGTAGTCATTAAACCAGTCATTAAAAACGCAGTGATAAAAACCGAAATCTTTGATGAGACCAAAAAGTGGTCTATCAAAAATCTCGTTTGATGAGCTATTGGGTGCCTTCCACAACCCTTCTAAAAAAAAGTTTTTGTCGAAGGGTCGTTCGTGATTAAACCGTGATAAAACTTTCGACAAAAAGCAGACAAGTTTGATCTAACCAAAGTTTGGTCAGATCAAAAATCGCATAAAAACCGTTTATCACACTTTTAATCGGACTCTTATTTGGCAACCACATAAAAAGTAAACTTGTTTTTACTATCGACACAGACTTCACCCTTAAGAGGAGACTTTTATTCAAATTGAAGTTGCGCGATCTTCTGCGGTCGCTGGGCGCGAAAATCGCGCGCGAACTCGCCACTTCATACGCATTTTTAAATTCACGCCGTCGACCTGAATCGGGTAGAAATTTCTACGGGCTGCTGACATGTGCGTCTGTGTCCTCGATTTCGAGTAGATCTGGTTGTACTAACCTTTACCTTTGTATATCCAGACACCCCGATGAAGAGATCAAGATCTCCTGTTGTTGAGCGCTGTCGTCATGAAGACAGCCTGCCATCGCCCGTCCCCAAGCGTCAGAAAACAGACTCTGGTGCGCTGGCGTCGTCGTTGGACGTCTTCGATCTCCGGACGCGCGCGTTGCAGCCACTAGGATCTGGTAAGATTCTCCTGTTGAGTCGAGTAGAGGCTTCACTAACTTGTGATAATGCTGCAGATGGCTCCTCAAGGACCGCAGAGAATTCGAGCGCTATACCCGCTTTAACGGCAGGGGGTAACACTTGGCCAGGACGCTCGATGCCGTGGCTACGATCGGGCCGCACCTTTGCCCACCGGCTCGTACCCGAATCCGCCACCATTCAAGCTCGCCCCCTGTCCGAGTTCGAGCTAACCACCCTTCCAGATGCCGACCAGACCGACGGGGCTGCCTCTAGTGGCGGGACCACGATCTCTGAAGCTTGGGACTCCTCTTCTCCTGCACGCTCCTTCTCCAGCACTCGGTCACTTTCGAGCACCGGAACGCTTATGGATCTTGAAGGCTACAATTCAGACGCCGTTACCGTAATCGTTACCCCGACGAAAGCGGGTGCAGCCACTCCTGCAAGCACGCCTCGCCCAGCCCCAGCATCGGCTGCTAGCTCTCCGGGTTTCGAGCTCCTTGTGGACACGTCTCTTCGTTCTGCGCGTGACGAATGGCAGCCGGAGCGGTGGCCTCTGGAGGTGATGTTCCTCACTTCTCAGTACAACCCGCAAGACTTGAAGTTTCCGCCTGTCAGCTCGGGCATCAACGGAGGAGAGGGCTGCGGATGCGAGGATCGGTGTCTAGCGTCTACTTGCGTCAACGCCCAGTCTAACCGGTTCTGCAACGCCGTGAATTGCCCCTTCATGGGCGTGTGCGGTAACTCACTCCGCGAGAGTTCTGTCCTGGCGATCTGCCGCAACGTGCGCACCGGGATGCGGGGCGTTGTAGCAGTTGGAGCCATACCTGCAGGGGAGGTGATAGGAGAATACTTCGGACGTCTCCAACACTTTGGCGCCCCACGCAAGAACGGACCTGCGAACGACGGGTATCGCCTGGGGTTGAAGACCAAGACGACCGGTAACAAGTACGTGGGTATTGACGCCCTCCATGCGGGTGGAAAACTGCGGCTCCTGAACCATTCCTGCAACCCCTGTGCGCGTTTTCATGAGGTCCGGACCGGGAAGGAGCTGACTGTCGTGGCAGTGACCATCCGAGACGTCTTTCCGGGGGAGGAAGTGACGGTGAGCTACGGAAGCCACCTTTGGTTCGTTTGTCGTTGTGGGTGGTGGGGGTGCCAGCATCGAGATTTACAGGGCGTTAGGTCCGAGGAGGACTGCGTGTGCTAAGAGGAGGTTCGGCCCGTGCTGATCGAACCGAGTGGCAGAGAATGTGGTGTTGAAGCTTGCTTGATTCATTGTGAATATAGTGTAGCGTCGAATGAGGTTTTTTTTTAATACTTTTGCATTTCGGTATTCCATCCGTTTTAAAGTTTTTAGCTAGCGATCTTCTTCCGACAGCTTTCATTTTCTAATTCGCTCCTTTGGAGAGAAGAATCAGCGAGAGAATGTCAAAGGTGCAGTATGTTCGGTTCTACGTAAGTGCTGTCCTACGGTAGAGCTCACGTTGACGTTATGACCTACAACAGAGAGGGCGCCGCAGCGGATACAAAAACTTCTCGCTGCCGGAGCAATTCCTTCTTTGTGAGATCCTGGAGGACATCCGACCACTAGGTAAGGACATGTGGGAGCGCGCAGCCGAGCAGTACAATTACCGACGCCCAAGGGGGACGTGCGAGCGAGATTATGAGTCTTTGAGGCGCAAGTTCAGGAATCTGGTAGGAAAGAACAAGCCAACGGGGATCAACGGGGAGATTCCTGAGTCGAAGAGGCCGATCGCCATGGCCCAGGAGATCCACGCACTTATCGAGGCAGACGCCGGTTCAAATGAGACCCTGGACGGTCTCGACGATGGGGAACAAGACAGTGACCTTCTTCGCCATGTGGATTCTCTACAGGGTAGAAGTCCGAGCGCGCGTCGTTCGCTGAACGAAGGAGAGGATCTCCTGACTGCCGAAGACAGATCACACCAAGCCACTGGGGGTGATACAGCCTCTCACCTGGAGTCTAATGCGAACCGTCATGGAAGTACTGGAGGTGAGACTGTAAGCGATGGAGCTTCCGTTGCTACAGGGCTCAGATCCGAGACCGCAGCCGAGCCCGGCGCCCAAAGTCTCGTGGAGGAAGAACCCACAGCTCTAGGAACGATCGCCACCCGCGAAGGCAGCGTCTCTGTGGTGTTTAGCCAGGATCTCGAGGGGTGGGACTCCGATGGTGGAGAGGAGAAGGCGGAGGAAGGGTGTCAAATCGAAGGTCCCGAAGTCGGAGGTCCATCGAGAGGAAGGTCTTGCTATTCACCAGTTCCAGAGGCTCTAGATGGTTGCGACGGCGATGGAACCCGCCGGGAGACGAACTCCAGCCAAGAATTGACTACAGTTCTGCCGTCGAGAGAGCGCAATGGGTCCGTGTCTGCTGACAGTGAAGGTCGGCGTTCAGACTTGTCCGCGGATCGACGAACGTTTCGTCGCAACCCACTTAACGCGACTTACGACAACAATGAACGCGAGAAACACAGAGGACTCTCGCCCGCATCCAACAGACTGGGAGGCCAAGACCTGCGAATACTCCGGGACAACTTCCACGAGATGGGCGGGAGGAGCGTAGGATCAAAGCACAAGCGGACGGCGTCAGATCCGACCCCGCCTGCGACCTTTGTGGCGGCAAAGCGAAACAACGCCAAGAAGCGTATGGACGATCTGGGGAAACAGGTTGCGACCCACGAGGACCACTTGGCATGCGCTCAAGACATGTCCACCCTCATGATCATCTTCCGAGAAGACGCCAACAGAAGAGAAGATGCCGAAGAGAGGAGACGCCGCCAATAACGAGAAGAAAGAGCTGCTACGGAGAAGAAAGAGCGAGAGGAGCGAGATCAGCTTCGTCGAGAGAAAGCCAAAGCCGCGGAAGCGCTCCAAGACCGAAGAGCGCAGGAGCTCGCGGAAAACAGGCGCCAGTTTGATGAACGCATGAAACTAGACAGAGAGGAGGCCCGAGAACGTCACCAACAAATGATGCTCGTCCTCGCGGCTCTGATACCGAAGAACCAAACAAAAGATGACGACAATTAGCGCATTTACATTTTGCTAGTCCTTCGTCTAACTCTGCGTCTCTACGTCGTAAGCCGCATCCTCCTGGTCATGAAAAAAAACTGTTCTGATCTCGCTAATGCCAACGGTGCGAACCCTATAGTTCGCTCAACGAAATAGATTCTCAAGGCGAACGCGACGCGTGTCCTTATCGTAAGGAAGGGCCAAGTGGAGGCAGTGATAGACCTTGTCTATCGATCCCATTCACCACTCAGCAGATTGCCTAATAGATGTAATGGCCGCAGAAAGAGAGGTCGCCACCCGCCGCACAGAAGGAACCAATCTCCCAAGATCGCCCTTCTTCAAAGGGGTTAGAATTCGCCCCGTCATTTCCCCAGCGCAGGGGAATGCGCTGTCGGCGACGATCCCATACCGCGCGTCTGGATTGAGAGTAGGATCCGCTAGTTTTCTGCGTAAAGCCAAACTCGTGTCACCGTCGTTCCAGCTTCCGGGACAATTGTGTTTGGCCCAGACGATCAACCCGTCGGCCGAGAAACACAGGGTCCCGGTCACGAAGACGCTGTGTAACCAGCCGTTATACTGAGCGTTCTGGAGCTCGCGTTCCGAGGGGGCTTGAACCTGCACATATACGATTTGAAGAGAGAGAGTTAGTATTTAGGAAGAAAGGTTTACCAGTTGTGTGCTCACTCTATAGTTCTTTCCATCTAGGAAACCCCACGTGAAGCGGAGCAATGGCTGCTTCATCCACACCAACTGTGCGAGAGCTCGTTGTCTAGCGAGCGACGGCCACGAAATCCGCGATAGAGAATACTCTTTTAAGGTTATACTCAGTGCCTTCTCGGCACCAGTTATAGCTCTCGATACGGTTGCTGGAGGAGCCCCAAATTGCAGACAGAGCTGATTATTCCGCATACTTCCTACGTAGAAGCATAATAGGAGACCCAGCACTTGATGATGATGTTTCAATCTCGGAGGTCTCCCCCCTTTACTGCTATAGCCTGAAATGCGATACCTAGGCGTGAACTGATCTAGCAGCATACAAAAAGAGGATCTACACGTATTTTACAAATTATAATTGCCAAATTTTCAAATGTAAACGTCTCGTACCTTGTAAAACTTGTTAGCGACAAGAAGTTGGTGTCCGAGCCCTTGGTCCAAGTCTCCATCCAGGGCGAATCCTCTGGCCTCTTTACTTTAGGGTACGTTATGAGCCTTTAGTGAAAACAAAAGACATTTTAATTGGTTGCCAGATGAGGGGTGTAATAAAAGACAATTAAAGCTCACCAAACGAGATTTTTGATGAGACGACTTTTTGGTCTCACCAAAATTCTCGTTTTATCACGAGTCGTTTTATCACCCTTTAATCCACCCTAACCCTGATGCTTACCGTTTTATGTGGGTTTTGGAAGGCACCCATTACCACGCCCCCTTATTTAGTAACGTATTAAAATTAATATAGATTTCACTAAGTTATCAAACAGCACCCTTATGTTAGGATT